TAACATAATTATCTAATAACTGATATGAAAGAATGAAATAGTAGAATAATAATTGGAAATATTAAAGAATTATTTGTTCCATTTACAGATACCAAATAATGGTCTTTCCTGCCCATCATATAAGCACCTAGAGCTCCCCTTTCCCGTGGAGAAATTTCACCGTCTGTACCGGATTATCCCCATGAAGGAATACCACTCAGTAGAGATTAACTGGGCTTTGCCTTCCTACCTCAAGCACTATAAAACAAAGCCGTTGCACTACATCTCTCACTTACTCGGCCACGAAGGGAAAGGCTCCATTCTGTCGTACTTGAAGAAGAAGTAGGCTTTGGAAATAGTTTTCTTTATGTTAAGTTTGTTTTTCATGATATAATGCAGTGAATGTAAGTATAATGTTTGAATATAATAGATAGTTATGATTTAGAGACTCTTCACTCATATTTTCATGTGAAGGCCATAGATTCTAAAAAGGTTACCCTTGTTTTTCAGAGTGTGGGCAGTTGGACTGTATTCTGGCAATGATGGGTCAGGATTTGAGCATAACACCACTTATGCTGTTATGAGCATTAGTGTAGAGCTGACAGATGAAGGCTTCAAAAATCTGGATCAGGTAAGAATACGAAGAAAATTATAGTGTTGCCTGTCTGTTTCTTTACAATCCAGTAATAAAACCCAGTAGGAATGAAGGAGACAAGCCGATTGAAATACCTTTGGATCATGTTATTTTTTTCACATATTGAATTATCACTGTGCCAATTTTTTATATCATTAGGCTTGCTTTGATGTATATTGTCATTGAAGAGAGTAATATATAAATCTGATGTCATGAATTATTATTATTATTGTTGTTATTGTTATTATTATTATTATTATTATTATTATTATTATTATTATTATTATTATTATTATTATTATTATTACTACTACTACTACTACTACTACTACTACTACTACTACTACTATTATTATTACTATTACTATTACTATCACTATCACTATCACTATCACTATCACTATCACTATCACTATCACTATCATCATCACTATCACTATCATCATCATCATCATCATCATCATCATCATCATCATCATCATCATCATCATCATCATCATCATCATCATCATCATCATCATCATCATCATCATCATCATCATCGCCACCGCCACCGCCATCGTCATCGTCATCGTCATCGTCAATTATTTTTATTATTATTTTTTTCTTACTTATTTATTTATTTATTTATTTATTTTCTATTCTTTTTACTATTACTATTACTGTTACTAATACTGATAATTTTATTCCATTGTTGACCTAACAGACGCATTTTTTTTCTTGTAGGTCCTGCTGGTAGTATTCCAGTATCTCTACATGATTCAGCAGACTGGACCAGTAGAGAGAATTTTCAGGGAGATTCAGCAGACAGAAAAGTTGAATTTTGATTATGCTGAAGAGGAGACAGCTATTGAGAATGTTGAAAATCTCTCGGAAGGAATGAGGATGTTTGAGCCCGAGGATTATCTCACGGGAGACTCCTTGCTCTTCGAATATGACCCGGAGGTGAGTAGATGGGGTATTTATGTGTGATTTATGTAGTAAATGTTTGATGTCTTTTGAGTGTCAAGAGTAAAACCAGTTTTGGTTTTAAACAGAAATATATGCAGTCATGTATATTGTAATAGTATTGGAATGTTAGTTTAACTTATGATGATTCAAAAGCTCAGTATTAGTGTTTTTGCATTTATGTTTTCTCTAAAATTTTCACCAAGTTATATTTCCCTGAAACTGTTGCAGGTTATAAGGAATTGCATGCAACAGTTGGTACCTGAAAACTGCAATATTATGATCAGTTCCAAGAGTTATGAAGGCCAGGATGTTTGCTGTCTGACTGAAGACTGGTTTGGCACAAAATATTCTGTTGAAGGTGAGGAATGAATATTTGTTTTTAGATACTTCCACTTCTTTTATTATTTTAACCTTTTTAGACTGGTTGTGAATATTTCTTTGAAGTTTTCACCATTGTTTATGCTACATTAAGGATGTTCCTCTTCACAATATTGAAATCTATTAAAAAAATGATCAGAATTCCATAAAGAAAAATGCATATTCTGATGCTGTATATATAATCATACTAGAAATTCTGTATATATATTTATCCTACCAGCTTGTATAAAAGAAAGCTACTTTATTTAAGCTTTTTTTCATTTCCCTCTTGACAGATATTCCTCAAGAGTGGGTGAAGGCATGGAGTAAACCACCAGAAAACCCCCATTTGTTCATCCCGTCTCCAAACAAATTCATACCAGACAACTTTGACTTACTTAAAGTTGAAGAAGGTGCTACAGAATACCCAAGAGTACTTCAGAAGGATGATTGGGGCGAGGTGCTCTACAAACAGGACCAGAAGTTCAAGTTGCCTAGGACATACTGCTACATTTACTTCCTGTCAGACCTCCTTCTGCAGTCTCCCAGAGCGTATGTTATATTTTCATAATGGGCGTATGTAGAATCTCGGCTCTGACTTAGCTTGTTTCTTTGTTTTTTGAAGTTTTGTTATAGTGGAAAGGAATTTAAGAAAAGTCTTACTGAAATTACAGGTCACAAATTTTAAACAATTTACAATTTAAAATTATTACAAGAAACTGTGATATATTGTGTAATTTTATAACAGTAGATGAGGATAAAGTAAATAATGTTAAAAAGTGGAAGAGTAGATTTGATTAGAACTTGTGTTTTTTGCTTCTTATACATATGATATATATATGAGTGATTTGAAAGTATTTCTTGTTTATACTCTGTTGACATGATTCAGGAAAACTGGCATCTTGCTCTAGACTATGAATTACACTGATTGACCAAGTCTCTTTGGAGAATGATATTAAAGTGATTTTGGAAGCAACAGGTTTTGGCAAAAACAACTAGAGTACCCAAAATTTACATTACAGTGCAGCTCTGTTGGACCTGTACCTGAACCTGTTCCAGCAGCACTTGATGGAGGATATCTACCCAGCCAACATGGCCCAGTACCACTACACCATCAGTGCGACAGAGCGAGGCTTAGTCTTCAAAATCAATGGTTTCAGTCAGAAGCTTCATGTAAGCAATTCACTTTTAAATGGGTTTTAATGGACAGATGAAATTTCCATGCTTATCCTTGATATGTGAAGTAGAATAGTTTTTCTACGTGGAGATATTTAAATTATTTTTTTGCAGGTGACAAGTTATAATGAAGTTACTTATCTTCTAGAGTACTGTCCTAGTATTATAAAATCTAATGATGATAAGTTTTGCATTTGTATTATCCCATTATTACAGGATTTGGGGGGAATAACCTACCAAGTGTTACCATATGCTGGTAGTTTACTGGAGCTGTTATTATTTTTGTAATTGTTACTGAATTCCTTCATGATGAGACTGCAACTGAACTTTTCTTTTATAGCAAATGCTGGAGCTTCTACTTCATCACATGGACACATTTGAAGAACATTTGGATGAAAAGTCTTTCCAAGAGATAAGACAGCAGCAAATGAAATCCTATCATAATGCTATTATCAAGCCAGAGAATATGAAGAAGTGAGTGTTGCTGTGTTGGTAGGAATAAAATGAGAGAATGGAGAACACAAGACTGCTTGATTTTACTTTAAATTTCCATAAAAGTATCTTATATCATGTCGCCTTTCTGAATTTTGGTATGTTTCTTATAATGTCCTCAAGTGTTATTCCCATGCCATACTTATCTAACTTACCTGTCTGCCAGATGCACCTGAATGTAACCTAACCATGCTATTTTTACTGTAACCAGCTCTGGCATAAGAAGCATCATGTATAAGCTTTGTAAGAAGAATGGATACATATATTTTGACCAAATGATATAAGAAACAGAAACATAAATTTATTTCCTTTGCAGGAACATCCGACTGTCAATAGTGCAGCTTGTGCACTGGACACCTTATGAGAAATTGAAAGCGATAGTTGATGTGACAAGCAAAGACCTTTTGGAAGACTTTGTGTGTAAGCTTTACCCAACCTGCCACATACGGATGCTTGTCCAAGTGAGTACCTTGTGCAGCTCTGTATGAAGTGATCTTTTTGTTAACCTCTTTTTTTTTTTTTTTTTTTTTTTTTTTTTTTTTTTTTTTTTTTTTTTTTTTTTTTCGTTTCTTTGTTTCTTTTTTAGTCAGTTTTGAATTGGCTATTAAAGTATGGCCTGAGGCTAAGGGTATTAAACTTTTTTTATATTTCACATTATATACCTATTTACTATTTTAAGATACACTAATGCAGGCGTGAAATTCTCCTGTTGAAGCCCCTAGCTTTATAGAGTATTAGGTGATTATTGATTAATTGAATCATATAGTACCATGAAAATGTATGAGTCTGCAATGAGTTAGATGATTAGAGTAATAAGAAACTAATAAATTTCTCCTTGTTGGTTTCAGGGTAACACATCAGCCTCACAAGCACTAGACATGTACAACTTAGTTAAGTCAAGAAAGGTCAAGTGTGAGATGCAGGCTGTGCCTTCTTTCCCCGAGGTTTGTTTTTTGTTGTGCTTTAGTGTTTTTTTTGTGTGTAATATGAGTAATTTTTTTTAGTTTGTTTCACGTTTTTTTGTGGATGTTGTTCCTAATCTATGTACGTTTGTAATAGCTTTTTGATTATCTGATGTAGTTTTCAGCTGCATCTGTAATCCAGCTCTGTAATTAAATTGTCTTGTTTTTTTTTTTTTTTGTGGATGTTGTTCCTAATCTATGTACGTTTGTAATAGCTTTTTGATTATCTGATGTAGTTTTCAGCTGCATCTGTAATCCAGCTCTGTAATTAAATTGTCTTGTTTTTTTTTTTTTTTGGTTTCTTTTTTAAGCAGTTTTGAATTGGCTATTAAAGTATGGCCTGAGGCTAAGGGTATTAAACTTTTTTTATATTTCACATTATATACCTATTTACTATTTTAAGATACACTAATGCAGGCGTGAAATTCTCCTGTTGAAGCCCCTAGCTTTATAGAGTATTAGGTGATTATTGATTAATTGAATCATATAGTACCATGAAAATGTATGAGTCTGCAATGAGTTAGATGATTAGAGTAATAAGAAACTAATAAATTTCTCCTTGTTGGTTTCAGGGTAACACATCAGCCTCACAAGCACTAGACATGTACAACTTAGTTAAGTCAAGAAAGGTCAAGTGTGAGATGCAGGCTGTGCCTTCTTTCCCCGAGGTTTGTTTTTTGTTGTGCTTTAGTGTTTTTTTTGTGTGTAATATGAGTAATTTTTTTTTTTTTTTGGTTTCTTTTTTAAGCAGTTTTGAATTGGCTATTAAAGTATGGCCTGAGGCTAAGGGTATTAAACTTTTTTATATTTCACATTATATACCTATTTACTATTTTAAGATACACTAATGCAGGCGTGAAATTCTCCTGTTGAAGCCCCTAGCTTTATAGAGTATTAGGTGATTATTGATTAATTGAATCATATAGTACCATGAAAATGTATGAGTCTGCAATGAGTTAGATGATTAGAGTAATAAGAAACTAATAAATTTCTCCTTGTTGGTTTCAGGGTAACACATCAGCCTCACAAGCACTAGACATGTACAACTTAGTTAAGTCAAGAAAGGTCAAGTGTGAGATGCAGGCTGTGCCTTCTTTCCCCGAGGTTTGTTTTTTGTTGTGCTTTAGTGTTTTTTTTGTGTGTAATATGAGTAATTTTTTTAGTTTGTTTCACGTTTTTTGTGGATGTTGTTCCTAATCTATGTACGTTTGTAATAGCTTTTTGATTATCTGATGTAGTTTTCAGCTGCATCTGTAATCCAGCTCTGTAATTAAATTGTCTTGTTTTTTTTTTTTTTTGGTTTCTTTTTTAAGCAGTTTTGAATTGGCTATTAAAGTATGGCCTGAGGCTAAGGGTATTAAACTTTTTTATATTTCACATTATATACCTATTTACTATTTTAAGATACACTAATGCAGGCGTGAAATTCTCCTGTTGAAGCCCCTAGCTTTATAGAGTATTAGGTGATTATTGATTAATTGAATCATATAGTACCATGAAAATGTATGAGTCTGCAATGAGTTAGATGATTAGAGTAATAAGAAACTAATAAATTTCTCCTTGTTGGTTTCAGGGTAACACATCAGCCTCACAAGCACTAGACATGTACAACTTAGTTAAGTCAAGAAAGGTCAAGTGTGAGATGCAGGCTGTGCCTTCTTTCCCCGAGGTTTGTTTTTTGTTGTGCTTTAGTGTTTTTTTTGTGTGTAATATGAGTAATTTTTTTAGTTTGTTTCACGTTTTTTGTGGATGTTGTTCCTAATCTATGTACGTTTGTAATAGCTTTTTGATTATCTGATGTAGTTTTCAGCTGCATCTGTAATCCAGCTCTGTAATTAAATTGTCTTGTTTTTTTTTTTTTTTTTTTTTGTTTTTTTTTTTTTTTTTATTTTTTTTTTTTTTTATTTTTTTTTTTTTTTTGTGTGTAATATGAGTAATTTTTTTAGTTTGTTTCACGTTTTTTGTGGATGTTGTTCCTAATCTATGTACGTTTGTAATAGCTTTTTGATTATCTGATGTAGTTTTCAGCTGCATCTGTAATCCAGCTCTGTAATTAAATTGTCTTGTTTTTTTTTTTTTTTGGTTTCTTTTTTAAGCAGTTTTGAATTGGCTATTAAAGTATGGCCTGAGGCTAAGGGTATTAAACTTTTTTATATTTCACATTATATACCTATTTACTATTTTAAGATACACTAATGCAGGCGTGAAATTCTCCTGTTGAAGCCCCTAGCTTTATAGAGTATTAGGTGATTATTGATTAATTGAATCATATAGTACCATGAAAATGTATGAGTCTGCAATGAGTTAGATGATTAGAGTAATAAGAAACTAATAAATTTCTCCTTGTTGGTTTCAGGGTAACACATCAGCCTCACAAGCACTAGACATGTACAACTTAGTTAAGTCAAGAAAGGTCAAGTGTGAGATGCAGGCTGTGCCTTCTTTCCCCGAGGTTTGTTTTTTGTTGTGCTTTAGTGTTTTTTTTGTGTGTAATATGAGTAATTTTTTTTTTTTTTTTGTTTTTTTTTTTTTTTGTTTTTTTTTTTTTTTGTTTTTTTTTTTTTTTGTTTTTTTTTTTTTTTTTGTTTTTTTTTTTTTTTTTTTTGTTTTTTTTTTTTTTTTTTTTTTTTTTTTTTTTTTTTTTTTTTTTTTTTTTTTTTTTTTTTTTTTTTTTTTTTTTTTTTTTGCAATGCTGTTTTTATAGAGGATGAAAAGTGTGTGAATATATCTTGTAACAGGAATTTAATGACAGATCTTTTCATTCCAAAGATTGAATTGATAAAAAACATCACACGAGACAATGTGGCCGAGTGTCTGGAAAATCTGGTGTGTAATAAGAGTAACGAAGGATATAGGAAGCTGACCGTGCAAGTCGTGGGGGCGTCCAACCCAGAGGATGGAACACCGCCTGCCCTGGATGGCTTGCTAGGTTGGTGTCTGTGATTTAGCTCATTATTTTGTGTGATTCAGGTTGACCCAGTTGGCACGGATAGCAAGGGGACATGCCATACCTACTGGGATATAAGTTGGCTCTACAAGTGCTTAGTCACCCTGGAGTCGGTTGTTATTCCTAACTATCTTGCATGTTTATCCTTTTCCATGATTTTTGAAAAGTCTTTTGTATTATTTCATTGATTTTAAATAACCAAAATTTTAATAACAAAAAGAATAATAACAGTGCCACTATCAGTAGTATAAGAAAGAAACACATTTTCCCAACATTTCAAGGAATTGGGAAATCAGGATTGGTTACTAGGGTCTACTGCTGGCTCAGCACATTTAGAGCCAACTATATGTAGCAAATTTCTCAAGAAACTTCAGGCAATATTACATAAATCCGTGCTGATTGGGTTAATGGTATTCTACTTGAACTGGATTTTTCTTTCATATCCAAATACATGATTTACATATCATAGCTAGATGGTTATAATAGCTGGTGATATTAATAAATATAAGTTTCATTGTATTGGTGTAATATCTTTAATATGAAACTTTACATAAATAATATATTAACATGCTAATGTCTGTTTAACAGGAGAAGACAGTGTAGTGAAGTTCCTGGGACCATGTGACAAGAGTGCTGTGAAAGACTATCCTGCAGAAAACTTTATCACAGATATTGCCAGCTTCAAGGGAAAACTCGAACCATACCCAGTAACCAAGATTGTTTAACATTCGTTGTAAAGATTAGGTGATGTGCATTTTCATTAGATCATCTTTAGAAACAATAGGTATCCCCAGTCCTTGTGTATCTTGTGGAAGTGTAGGCCTCTTCGACAGTGAATTTTAACTGATAAGGTGTTGGGAGAGTTGTTATGTAGAGGGTATATAATTTTTTTTTTTTTTTTGTTTCTTTTATTTTAGTTCAGACTTTCTGATGAGGGAATAGTGGTAATTGATATTTTTTACTGGTGGCATAATTTTCTCCTTCACATGTTTCAGTGACTAATATTGTGATTAGTGCTTAGAGCTTGCTGATGCCCAGATATTGGTTCCTATGCATAACAGAACCAAAGATTTATGGAAGAAAGTGGATTAATGATGTATTATAATAGGTTGTTATAATAAAAAAGGAAAAAAAAACATATAAAAAGTTATGTTCTAAAGGAAATATATAATATTTCTAAAAGGTGAAAATATTCATGGTTTCAGTGTTTCAAATTTTAAGGTATTTAAGAATTATATAGAAACCTTTTTTCAAAAGCCTCCAGTATTGTAAACATGTATATCTTTTAAACCTACAAAAGTACAGGTAAGGTTTATCAAAACTTGCATAAAAAATATGCAAACATTTTAATGTAATAAAGAGAAGCTATTATTTTTTTTGCTGTTAAAGTTTGAGTATTGAGTGCCAAACATAAGCATTGAAAATTGCTCTATTCACATTATACTCATGAGAAGTAAATTTGTATCAATGGAGCCTGGGAAATGCATGCTTTTTCAAGTGTGATTTGAGAAAGAATAGCAATATGTGCTATATAATAGTGTTAGTGAATGGTACTATATGTGCATAATAACAATTGTGTTTATCTATCCCATAAAGAAATCTGTTAAAAAGAACCCAGAAAAAAGATAAAGAATCCAGATAATAAATATATGAATTTAGGAAAATGAAATTCACTATATGTAATATGTTCCTGGAAAGATTTAGTTGTAAGTGGTAGTTTTATGATCTTCACTCATGATGGTGGAAATGCAGTTGGAGTGGAAAGCAATAGTAATACTTAACCCTCCAGAAGATTGCAACAAGTCTTGGCCTTTGTGGAGGAAAAGTTCTATACTAACATCTGATAAATCCCTGTACTTTATGAATTAGCTCTTTGTTTTATATATTGCATGAAGTGTGTTTGTTCCAAAGCATTTTTATAAAATATGTAAATATGTATAAGACACGGGAGCATTATTCATTCTAATTTTCATTGGTTTTGATGAAGAGACCAATCATTCTTTTGAACCACAGGAGACCAGGCCTACTCATGGAAGTATTTGATTGATTAATGCCCTTGCATTGACAAAGGGATTTGATATGATTACTGTAGTGCTGAAATTGGTTCCATGCAGATGTAAGCCTCTCTTTGTTGCTTTACTGTAAACTGCTATTGTACTGTAAACTTGTATGATTTGCATTACTAATGTGGTATGTTCCTATAAACTTTATGATTCCTTATACATCAAATATCAAGTGAATGAAGACCAGTAATTAAGAGGGGTAAGAAGCTGGTTTTCATAATAAAGCTTTTCTTTAGTTAATGAAATCCATTCTGGAGAATTTACAGGTTTGGAAGCTATCATGTCACAATGATCGAAAACAGTTAAGAATTCAGGTCTTTGCCTGTTTCCAAAGTCCAGTGTTAGAGTGTGTCTACCACACATTAAAAGACATAGAAAATAGAAGTGACTTCTCATTTTCTATCACAGATTGCACTTTACATGTCTCTAAATGGATCAGATTCCCCTCCAGAATCTAATCCACTGGTCTGTGTATTATGGGCCCATAACGTTTTATCAATCTGTCAATTACTTTTTATTGCAATCTTGATTACAAATTAACAGCAGCCATGAAACTAAGCAATTACCCAATAAACATTTGCAAAAGCACACCTCTTGGCATTGCAGGTAAATGGAGAAGCTCTGTGTGATGGAGTGAGCTTCATCTCCTAGGCATCCTTTGTATTAATTTCTCTGAATTATTCTTTCTGTTGTTGGCTGTGAGTGCATGATACATTTGGTTTAGAAAGAGGATTTAGTAGAAGAAGGAATCTTACTACAGTTATGTGAACTGTGCCAGTCAAGCAGCACTCTGACCATAATACTGTATGTAAATTGCCTGTCTGCCTTGTTACCAGTGAGGTTGTTCTAGAGCAGATAAATACATTTGAACTAACCCATGTGCCTGGATTCGTAATTGTTTAGTGAAGTAGACTTTTTATGAGGATTTTGGGACAAGCAAATTCGTGTTCAGATGCAAGGGTGTGTGTTGCCTTCTAGGAAAAGAATGACAATAAGAGGTCTGTAAATTTATCAGATAGACAGGGATGAAAATACATTTTAATTTTTGAAGACCTCAGGCTTTCCCTGTTTTCACTGACTATGACTTTGTCTGATTTGGCTCGATTCAATAAAGAAATTAATACCTTTTTTGTCTGTTTCAAATCACCATTTTTTAAATATAGTACTGCTGAGAGGGCCACATGACATTACTTTTTAATAATTATGAATGTTACAGAAATCCAAAGTATGGATACTGGGAATATGAAAGCAGTGGTCAGCAAATCCACAAATGCCTTAAAATAAACTTTTTTTCAGTGTATATGTTCTTTATATGCCTCTAAGTTTTTAAGTGCAAAGTTTATTTATTTTTTACTTCAAAGTTGTTAAATTCTGTAAAAATTCTTTCCTTACTGGTTTATTATTTAATTCCTCTATTTTTTTAATTAGTGTGGTTGTTTTGTTAAATGATGTGGTAACATAAATGGCAAAACCTAAATGCTTTATGTTAGGGCTTTTCACCTATACTAAACTTATCCAAGTCACTCCTTACAGTTTATGTAGTAGTTAACTTGTTGACACTGGGAGGGTCTTTCCAGTGTAAGGTTATGTTTTTTCTTTTCTTTTTCTTCACACAGAGATGAAGTCAGTTACTAGGTCTGCCTGACCTCACCAATGCATCTCACTCTTTGGTCTTTCAGGAATAAAAGAATTTATTGTCATTAATAGTAGTAATACTAATAGCATTGATGGTAATTATAATAGATAAAAAAAACAAGGAACAAGGTAAACAGAGAACCCTTATAAGACTTCTTGGTAGCTTTTGCAATGCCATGAATGTGCAAAAAAAAATACCATCAGAAAACCTGTAAATATAACTTGAATGAACTGTAAATTCTGATGTGCCTCAAGTACTATTGTTCAAAAAGGTCTGATATGGGCTTGGCATTCATTATTGGCAGTCTACTAATTTAATGTAAACTTTTATTTAATCACTTGTCTTTTTTTTTTGTTAGAAGGAAACAACAGATGATTAAATAAGCAATTCATTACTGAACATATTATGAACAATAAACATTAGTTCAGTAAAAGTCAAAAACAGTTTGGAAACAAATACTTTATATATATTTATTTTCTGAAGATTTACTTTCCATTTTTTGTTCATTTGAGATTTTTACACACATGAGAAAGTCATACAATATATTTCATCTAAAGTATTCAGTACAATATTTTCTCTTCTTTCTACTGCAAATATAAAGGTTATATAAAATAAATAGTTCTACCTAGAACATAACAATTTTACTTTTATTTAGCAAGATATATATGTATTTTATTTACAGAAATTTAACAAGTAAATTAAACTCTCTCAGATATCCAAACAGCTGCTTTGCAGCCCATCTTTATGATGTTGCTCATTGTTTTATATGCTGGTGCTAACTCTGCATCATGGGCTAAGCCAGTATCGTGATGATCCATTTCATCGTCTCTGAATTTTTTAATAACTTCAATTAATTCTTTGTTTTCCTCTTCTCCGTTTTGGATCAATTCTCGAAGTTGGGAATTATAATGGTCGGTAATAACTGATTCTACAGCCACAGTGCATGCCATTGCTGCTTCTTTGCCCAGTAAGGCAGTACCTGGAATAATAATAATAAAAGAAATGTTTAAATACAAATAAAATCAACCACCAGGTATCTGAAATAACATGTAAGTGAAATTCTTCCTCTCAGGTTTCACACAAGTGTTGGAAGCAGAAGAGAAGAATCTAAAGAAGATGGGTGGAGAGGGAAAGGAGCAAGAAGAAAGAGGGGATGGGAGAGGAGGAGGGAAGAAGGAAGGGGAAAGAGAAATAATAAATAAATAGAGGAGAGGTTACTAAGACTTCAGAGTCATTAAACTCACATTTCCTGAAGGGGCTCATTTGTGAGTTACTGCAGTATCTTCATCAGTCCACAAGGTATAATATACTTGGATAGGTTATGTGGAGTTTGTTTTAGAAAACTGTTTATTATTATCATCTTGACAGAGTAAAACAAATGACAAATATAGATCTTGGGAAATTTCAATACTGCAAAAAAAAATAGGTCTGCAGAAAAAAAGGGGCTAATATCATTGCAATGAGGTGACAAAAGAGTTTTGATACCAAGTGTAAGTGTTTGTGTGGGCCGGGCCTACAAGCCACATACCTGTGAGAGTTGCCACTCACAGAATCCCAATGCCCTGATATTAAAAGTCCACACTACCGTAAGGCACCCAGATACAATGGGTTAACTCTACTGTAATTCTGGAAGGTACTAATCAACAACATAAACAGAACAGCTAAAAAGGAAAAGGGAAAAAGTAGAAGAAAGAAAGGAAAAATATACAAAATTAATTACAACCTTATATATTTCACCTTAATCATGAAACAACTGTAACTTTACTCTGGCAAAATAATTTTAGTTTAAATTCTATTAATGTAGGATGGAAAAATATATATATCAATGAACTTACCTGCTCCTAAAGCAAAGCCTGCAACATTCCACAGGGGTACAAGAACTGTAGGTCGGACTCTATACTTGGGAATCAGTTCCTCAAACTTGGCCTTGTGTTCCTTCTCTTGATCCCACATATGTTGGATAACTGGCCCTACACTTGTTTTGCCTTCAAAAAGAAAGAAAGAAGGGATTTATACTTGCTTTCACATCAAAATCTGAACTGAAAAGACATGTTAAAATGTGTCCAAATTCTAGAGTTGACTATTATAAATCTGTAAAAGTATTTCTGTGCACAAAGCTTAATAGATCTTGTTCATATTGTACAGTTTAAACCAGGATGGTCTAACTATGGACTCGCTGGATGATTGTTTTGAGGCCTGTGATGAATTATCTTTGAGACTCGCAATTGAAATTGATTTTCCTTGGTAAAGAAAACATGTCTAGCAAATTAGTTGTGTGCATATAACAGCTGTGCATCTCTTGATAAAAGGATATGAGTGGATTTTCATATGGGGAGGATATCCTTCTAAAATGATTTTTTCATGTACCATCCTTGTGTAGCAAATAAATTAATGTTGCAGAAGAGAAGCTTCAGTCATGCACATACACTAAGCCCAGAGGGTGTCACTGGCACAGAATCCCAAGGGGAAGAGACAGAATTCATAAAGATAAAATGAAGTCTCCTTAGATCTCCCACACCTCAAAGCTGGTACTTTCTCTTAACCCTTTATCACAGGGATGACATAATATCACATCACCTTAGACTATCCCTCAGACAGGGATGATTTCAAGGAAAAACATTCATATGAAGAGAGTAGCCCAAACTTCTTAAAACCTATCTGTTATGCCACAAAATCATATTCTAAATATATATATATATATATATATATATATATATATATATATATATATATATATATATATATATATATATATACACACACACACACACACATATATATATATATATATATATATATATATATATATATATATATATATATATATATATATATATATATATATATATATATATATATATATATTTTAAGCTCCAAGACCTACAGCAAGATTTCAGAAATATGATATATAACACACTGAATCTTTATTGTTTCCCATGAAAGAAAGTTCTTGTTCCCAAAAGCAAAAAGGAATGAAAAAGATTTTTTTCTTCCCTTCTCAACAGACATAGATTTTGGTAATCTTCAAGTGACATCATAAACTGCCTCACCTGAAACTGAATTATTCCATACCAAAGGTGCAAAAAAAAATATATATATATTTTTTGGGGGGAAAAAGAAAAGAAAAGGAAAAACCAATATTATGTATTCATTTTCATCATTTTTCATTTCTGTAACTCAGACATCTAGATATCAAAATCCTTGTTCTTTGTCTGTACTTAACCATTTGTTGTATCTTACGAGAATTTCACTCTTCTTTACCATGAGCTCATATTCATACATGCCCTAAAGGTTAGAAAAATGTTCCCTTCAGTGATTAGCCCATGCTAATTGTAATGTAGAACATGGATTATAGTAATAATGATGATGATATTTATACATACTGTAATCATTAGAATAATTTTTTTTTTTTGAGAAAACCTTAACCCATTCGCCCTACGTGGCAAGAATAGATGCCATACCCACTTTGATACACGTTTATTTATTGCATTTACACATAGATGGCTCCACAAGTTCTTAATCATCAAATAGCCAGTTATCAAGAACTACGTATTTCACCTGTTTACCTTTTTCCTTCACTTTAGGAATTTTTTTTTTTGTATAATTTCATTGTCTAAAATATTCTAATGACAATTTAATAATCATAACCGGTACCTTACTGAACAATGACATGGTGCACACAGGGTCACCTTCTTCAGGGAAATATAAGAAGCATAGGCAACATAAAATTACCCTACTCTCTATGCTCTTGGCTGCAGCATAAACTGTTTTCTAGGTATTGCAGCCAAAAAGAGGCTTTAAGGCTACTTTTGAGGGGTTATTTGATGTTAATGCACTGCTATCATGAGATTATGCGCATTAACTTGAACATATTTATGCTGATGTTATAGATGAAAATATAATCTATCAATTGCCTGTTGGGGCAATAGGTATGACAACATCTTTGGATATGTGTGCCCTCATTTTTCCTCAACATATGCAGTCAAGGCTAAACAAACACAGAACTATCTAGTGGACACAACTTAGAGCAGGCTTGACCATGTATGACACAAGGCGGTCATCTCTGTGGGGTGGTCTCCCATGATGTGATAACATGTCATCCCTGTGATATTGTGTTAAGAGAAAGTACCAGCTTTGAGGTGTGGCAGATCCAAGGAGACTTCCATTTATCTTTATGAATTCTGTCTCTTCCCCTTGAGATTCTGTGCCAGTGACACCCTCTGGACTTATAATGAACCCTGACACCCTTTGGGAGGGTAAGTTGATAGACTAGGGTTGCAGAGTGACAACCTTTAAGCAGAGTGAGAATTCCAACTCATGATCATAATGAGCACAGAGTCAGAACATGCCCCACAGCCAGTACTGTAGGATAGGGTGTTGCAATTTGCCTCATGGAATTTGCTGTGATACACTGCATCTCTAACATTATCTGCCACAAAGGTGGACTGAGTGTTTCTTTTAAAATGGGTGGGAGAATTTCTTTTCATGAAAAACAATTTTAAATCCAGTATGTCATATATGATATTTCTGAAATCTTGCCATGGGTCTTGGATCTTAAATACATATATGAAATATAATTTTGTGGCATAACCTATAGTGTTTAAGAAGTTTGAGCTGCCTACTTCAAATGAATGTATTTTTCTTAATAGATAAAAAATATCAATAAAAAAAAATTATTCTTAATTATGAGCATCTTTACAGAAGAATTCAAACTAATCAGTTTCACTGTGTTGGAGAATGAAGGGTAAGTTGACACTCATCATTACATAAAACATCTAACAAATATCAAAACAATGCTTACCCAATACTGCCATCTGGCCTGCATAAATACGATCTGCTCCTAACTCTCCCGCATGGTCAACGCGGATTATACGCTCGAGTGCTTGCCTATTCCTTGCTGCATTGGTGCTGTAGAGCCTCAGGCTCTTAGTCAAAGATGACTGAAGCATTTCCGAAATCTGAAAATAAATTAAAATGTTAGAAAAATAATGAAAATATATATACATAAAAGGTTGTATTGTTTTCCTTATTCAGGGAAAACCACAACACTGAAACAAATAAATGCCAACAAAGGTGTATGAAAGGAAGTCCTTGACTGATAAATGTTTTGAATGCTGGCACAGAAAGAAAGAAACAATCAAAGCAAAAGATAAATAGAGAGAACAAAGCTCCTTATCTATATTTTCCTTTCAGATAAACTCAGATGCATGGACTACAACAGTTAAGAAATGTAGTGAATGCAAATCTTAATAGCTTTTATATCTTCTCTTTTCCTGGGAGATTTTGAGAACAGAGAGAAAAATGGATGCTAGAATTTGATGTTAAGGCTTACAGTGATAATACAAAGTCTCTATTAAATGCACTTATACTTGAATAGGATCTAATTGAAAAATATAGATAGTTATTTTTAACTTTTGAACTTTTCTTATGTGACAGTCTACGGTAACAATAATCTCTTGTACATCAATAATATGGATGAATTACATATATGCAAATTAAGTATATTTAAAGAATAGATAAGCTGAAATACAAGATGATTTGAACTATATAATCTCACCATCTAACCTAACTAACTAAACAGGCTGTTCTTTATGTCAAAATGATATTAATAACAACTATGATTAAAATACTACTACTTCCATAAAAAATAAACAATAGAATGTTTGTATTATCAAACTTGAAAATACCAGAAAGCCAAAAATCATTAAGAAAGAAACTTAGTATCTTCACTTGACAGTTCCATCACTAATTTTACAATAATAGAAAAGAAGACTTTGAAACCATATAATCGTCCTTGACAATAGATGTCTTCTGCGGTAATTATTTCTGTTTACTGCCAACTTGTCTTAATTAAGGAAGACACATTAAACTGGTTTTGGGAATAAAATAAAAATCTCTAGGTCACTGTCTCACACTTGCCGACATTGCCTTCTTTAGTACAATAATAATTATAATAAACAATGAATTTTGGTATTATACAACTGGAAAATACTGCAAGACCCGAGTTCATTATGAAAGAAACGTGACAAATTTTATGATGATGGAAATGTAAACCTGAACCTATGTAATCGTCATAAATAAACGTTCTCCGCAATACTATTTTCTATGTTTACTGCCATCTTGTCTTAAATAATCAAAAACTAATACACTGGTCTTGTGTATAAAACCCTAAATTTATCTCACTAAACCTTACTTGTCAACATTTATTTCTTTATCATTAGAAAAGCTAAATATATGTTAAATATTTAGAGGTTATACGCAAAGTCTCATTACTATCTGCCTGTATCTATAAGACCCTAACAT